TCCCAGGCAGCTACGGGGCTGACACACGCCAAGCACTGAACTTTAATTTTACAGATCTTCTCTGTGGATGAAAGACCGCATGTTTCAGGGCATGGTCCTTCCCCAGTGTGACTGAACGAGGGGTGGGTTATATTTTCACATTACTCCTTCTCATTAAAGTTGCTGTTGCCATTGAGTCTGCGTAAGAAGAAAAATACCACTAAAAACTGGAAAAAAATGCCCTGGGATTAGATCCTTCAAAAGCAAATGGACTGGCAGAGCAGTCCTTGGGGCATTTTTTCTCTAGCTCAGGTGACACCTACACTGACGTCTGGAGGCCCTAGGATCAAACCTCACTGATCTGCCACCCGTGGGAGGCCGTTTCACCAGCATAACGGAGGGTGTAATGCATGCTCCTTCAAGATAAAATATTACTTACTCCAGCAGGCAGGCTGAAGCAGACGCAGGACCTAAGCCCTTATGTGGCATCCTCTGAAGAACAGCTGTCACAGATAAATATAATCTGGTTCAAACATGACCTAGACAACTCCACAAGAGAGTCACTAATGCCTATTAAACACAACAGTCCAGCTATGGAAATCACTAAACCTGGTGACCACTGGAGTCCTGGACTGAGGGTTATTCTTCTTATATTGTGTGTGCTTCTGCTGGAGACAGGGGTCTCTCTAGGTTATCCCCTCAGCAAAAAGTGGGCCCAGGCAACTCAAGGTTGGTGCAGGAGGGCAGTTCTCCTACTTCAGTAATTGTAAAATGGATATATGGAGCTGGTTCTTCTAATTCAGCCCTCTCTTTTGTCCTGGTACAGGAGAGAGACCTTACACTATTAAACAGCAATGCATTTCAGAAACATCTCAATAGCTGCAGAAGATGCATGGCAGTTACAGTCAGTTCTTCACTGTTCAATCAAGATAAGACAACACTGATCGTAACAAACAATCCCTTCCCTGAGCTGAATTGTAACCACATGTTGTTTTATGCCGAAAAGCAACTTGGAACAGTAAAATACTCCACAGCTAATCAATACACAAGGAATGAGCTTAATTTTTAAACAGTCAGGAAGGTCTGTTGAGGGCTGGAGAGTCACAGATCTAAGGAAGGGAGTAACGTTCAGTGCGCTGAGATGTTGATTTTGGACTTTGGGACGATGACTCTGTGGTTTTGAGTGCAGCAGATCATGTCAATGATTTAACAGAAATCAAATCGTATCCACTGTGTCCACCTCCCACAATCAACAAACTGATCCCTTAGCGCTGCTACACAGTGGAGTCAACTAGAGCATGTAGTTAGGAGTGGGAAGAGGACGTGGGTTTCGGGGTGCTCCACACTGAAACGATTAAACATAACAAGAAACATACCCACGGACTGTGGGTTCAGTTCTGGCTGGCTGTAGGGTCAAAGTTTGAGAGCCTTCAGTGGTGCTGCCAAGACAAGCCATTCCTGCCTCATTTTTGCTGTTTGCCTTCACCTTCGCATCATCGCCTTGGCTGGGGAGCTCAGCTGCCTGTTACCAGCCATATGCAGATAATGTGGAAAAAACACATCCAGGGTAAAAAAAAAAAACAACAAAACTGACCCTGTTACTTAAGGGGTTATGGTCACAACAGAGCCTAATGCCTCCATCTCCTGTAGTACGGGCAGCACATCGTGCTATCATGTTCTTCCATTTCTTGACTGTAAAATGGAGATAACGAGTCTAAATAGACCTGGGCATCACTGCTCGGAGCAGTGCTGAGCCTGCGGTTTCACTCATGTCTTCTGGGTCTGCTTGCTTGTTTGATAGTGTCTCTTGGGCAGGGAGAGTGACAAAAGCAAGTGACGTGGTCAATGGAAGGGGACAGCACGCCGTGGCTAGCTGGGGCTTGCAAACACATTTCGGGGGGGGGACTGCGTGGTCTGGGGGGAGAGAATCAGCCCTGTGAGTGAACGCCGTATTAGGAGAGCACTGCGGGTTTCACTACAGTGAAACGTGGGCAGGGTTTGGCAAAAGCTGTCTTCAGTCTCTCATGTCTAAGTGAAGGAGCCATCTAGTGTAACTATGGCCACCTCAGACTTAATTTTAAACTAGATTATAGAGGAAGCTTAGAGGTCTGGGAAGAGGCATCCTGTGGCTGTGACCCCATCTCCAAACGGGATGCTCTGTCCATGTGCAATGTCTCCCTCTCTCTCCCTCTCTCACCTTCTACTCAATACAGAAGAAATCTGGATGACCAGCTCAGACTAGATGCCTAAGTTTTAGGCAGATTAAGTTAGGTGAGATGAATTCCAGCCTCAGTGTTGTGGAATTACACAAAGACCTTAGTTTTTCTTTAAACCTGAGCTTTGGTCTCTGTGCCAGCAAAGAGAAACTACATAACTCAAACAACAAATCAGAAAACAACAAAGAACAACTAAAAACGTGTTATTTACTTACATATCTCAGCTGGCTTCACATGATAGTTTTGGAAAACACACTTGTATGCATTAGGATGGCTGTGTTATTGCCTTCCCTACAGCTTAGCCCCTTTGGCCTCCATTGCTTCCCTCCTTTAGCAGTTATTCTATTTACTTTTACTTTCTCACAGAAACACCCCGCTCGTCCACACACCCGAGACTGCCCCGACATGAAACGGCCATGCCGGGGCCACCTCGCTGAGGAACCACTTGTGCTTCCTTACAGACCCAGCACCGGCCCAGCCATGAGGTGAGATGGCGACCTGCCCGCCAGAGCCCTGGTCCCTCTCTGTCCTTCTCCAGACCCACCGTGTAATCCCTGTGCCCGGTAGCGACGGCTTCCAGCACGGATGGTGGCTGCCGAGTGGCTCAGCGGCACCCACCACCCAATAAACCCCTGTGGTGCCACATGGGTCGGCCATCGCTGTGGGGAATGGCGCCGCAATGGGGGATCCGTATCATCTCTGGGGGTTTTCGGGGGTCCCGGCACGCTGAAGGAGGCTGTTTGCTCCCCATCTTTCAGAAAGACCTGGTTGAGGTGTAAAGAACTTGCAACAGCTCCTTTTTAGCTTTATTATTTTTAGAAGGGGCAGGGAAGAGGGAAGCACTGGCCTCCTCAGGGCATAGCAGCGAGGCGCTGCCATTGCTACCGAAACGCCTCAGCGTTTGGGCAAAGGCACCTCGCCTCCCCCTTCTGAGGGGAGCCAGTGGCTGAAATGTGTGTTTATTTTTTTGCCAAGGGGCTCAGATGGTGGGTTTGTCTGTCAGTCAGTCAGTCAGTCGGTCAGTCAATCAGTCGGTCAGTCGGTCAGTCAGTCAGTCAATCGAGGCTAAGCACCCCCTCAGAAAATGGCGGCGCGGCTCCTTTAAGACACGCCCTCACTCCGGCCTGACTCAGCCCCGCCCCCTCAGCAGCGGGAGAGGGGGCGTGGCTTGGAGAGACGGAAGGCGCCCTGCGGCCCTCTGAGCTTATGGGGTTGAGTGACAGCGCGCGACCCAATCAGCTGGCAGAGTGTGAAGCGGGGAGGCGGGCCTTCCGGCGGGATCTCGCTCAGGGGCGGGCATGGCGGCGCGCCCCTGAGGGGAGCGATCGTTAGGCGCCCAGTGCGCGCCGCGGCCTTTTACGGCGCTGAGGTGAGGCGGGTGGGGAGGTCGGGGGGGTGGGGTGACGGCTGGGGGTGGGCCGGGCC